CCAGGGCCACTGACCACTCTCCTGTTCATGAAGCCGTGAAGTCCAGATTGCAGGACTGACACTCTTAGCAGATGACTTTGAGCTAAATGCACTCTTGAAAGTTTTCCACAGGGGTATGAGGCATTGCCATGGTAAACCATCTGTGCAGACTTGCCTTTCTTCATCTTTGTGTAAAACTTGGCCAGACTTCAGGGACGTCCAGCCTCTTCACTCAGGTATTCCAGACAGAGCAGCTCCTTTGGGGTCAAAACAGCATTAAACAGAAGTACTTAAATGTTTTGATAGTTGGTGCTGCAATGCCTAAGGGGTGCTTGGCCCCAGGAGGGAATTCAGGTGAAACACAGGGTAAAATTTGGCTCTCATCTGGATTCATAAAAGCTGGTGTGCTAAGAAATACATCATCTGAACTCCAAAAAGTGTTCCATCTTTCTCCTTCCTTAAGGAGAAGATGCATTTAGCTCTTGTGTTATAGTTCTTGCACCTGGCTAGAAAGGGAGATCAAGAATTTATGGTCCTTGAATTTGTAGAATGCTTCCAGTTTTAACCCACTAAGAATTAAAACCAGCATAAAAAAAGTCCTCTCTCTCTCTCTCAACCAGTATCCAAAGTAGACCCAAGATCCTCTTCATTTTTGTGGATTAGCAATCATCTTCCTCTAGGACTTTAGCCTCATTTGGAGAACTAACCTGAATCATAGCATACCCTCTTCATCTGAATTAGTGTAATCTAAATGGATTCACATAAAAATAGGAGCTTTTGGAACCCACATATTCCACATTCTGGCTGATACCTCTAGTCATTAACTTATTTTTACTGCTAGAAACATTGTGTATGTCTATCAGATATGGCTCCTTCAGGACTGTACTAAGTGCCAAATGATCTTACGCAGGAGACACGTATGTACATCCATTCAGCAAAGTGGGTGATGCTCCTGGGTGCTCAGGGAAGTCTCTGTCTGGTCCCTGGAAGATGAGATGGTGGCTGGAATAGATTTTCTGAATTAACCTCTTAACTGCACTGACTTGTCATTGAACTAAAGTATATGCTTTGCCAGAAGTTCTTTCTTAGTGCTTTTTCCCATTGCTTATAGGAAAAATAGAAATAATTAGAGGATCCTGGTTCCCCTGTTGTCCTTGTTTTCTGTCAATGTGAGTCCATGAATGTCAACAGTGTTCTTCAGTTTATCCTGACTGAGACAACCAGGCTGAGGTTGTCAAGACTGCAGAATAAAATGCAGCTGCTGCCACATGACAGTCAATGTATGTGTGTGCGTGCACGCATTAATTGTACTGCATGCTCTTGATTTCGCAAAGCGGACCCAGTGTTTGACCAGTGCAAAGATAAACAGTTACACCTGTAGAGTGAGTGCACAGAGAAGGATATGCTTCCACATTTGTGGTAAAAGCACAGGAAATGCTTGAATTTATATGTCAGTACTCAAAAGCACCTGCACCTCTAGCAGGCTTTTACCTTCCGCTGCTGGTTTGAGGTCTCAGTCATGTTTTAGCTCCTATCATGAAAGAAAGTATCAGTGGAGACATTTACCTTTAGAAGTATTCACATATGTAGGCTTTCCATTGGGAAAAATTATGAGGAAAACGTAAGGGCAAAAATGCGACTTTCCCAGTCCTACGCACAAATTTTCTAGTGGGGCTGAAATTGCAAATGTTTCTAAGGTTCATCCAAAAACCTAAGTCACAGAAAAGAGCACACACATGGCTATATGTAAGTCCTGATTTGTCCAAAAATCCTTGGTGTTACACAAGTGATGCTCTCCTGAAAAATATGGGTGTGTCTGGTTATACCAAGCACATATTTCTTAAAACACTGATTCACAGAACTCAGGGGAAACCTTGGCCTTAGCAAAACACTCCAGACTATTAATGGGCAGCAAAATTTCTGTCTTAGTGCTGCATCCGACAATCTGTCATTCAGCTGACACTTAGGATGTGTTTTTTCTCACACTGCTTTTAAAGCGATGTAATTATTTCTGGTAATGTCAGCTGGCAGAGGGAGCAACAAGGAATTTCAGCCAGCATTATTTTTGACTGCCTATGCTGAAATGAAGCAGGAGAACTTGTGAAAAACTGTATGCCCTTTGGGTGGCGCCTACTGCAAAGCATTTGGTTTCTTTTCTTACACAGTAGAGCTGAGAAAGGTCCCAGCCTGACCTTAATTCCCTGGCTCCTTTGGGTACTGCTGGGAGAGGGTGAGACCACAGAGCCTCAGGGATATCTGGTATGCAGAGAGGGGACAGAGAATAGAAAACGAATAGCATCTATTTATAAATGCAGTTTGCATTTGGTAAGTGTGAGTCATTTGCCTCTTTGGTTCTGTGTTTTATATGGCTACTGAAAAAGCTGTAAGCATATTTTATTAGTTATTAACTTTATTTTTTTTTTTAAATACTGTTGATGTGTACACCCGTGAATAAAACAAGTCCTTGCCTAGTCTCACAGTTAAAAGAACAGAGAAAACATCAATTTTCTTTCTTTTTCAGGGTGTAGTAGCATGTTTACATTACCTCAACAGACACTGGTAGGCTAGGTGGGAAGAACAGGTTTTAAGAAAGGCTTTGAAAGTATAATTACAGTTAGACATCAAGAGCTGGCACACCAGCTCTGGGGTGTAAATATATGGGCTGTTAGATCTTGGGTTAGATCTGATTTTCACTAGTGATTTTTACCCGTAAGGACCTGGGGAGGGTGGGGAATGTGAGGCATGAACGTAGCCAGGCTTGCCTCCCACCCGACCTGCTGGGCCAGCAGAGCCAGCGAAGGCTGTTGTAATGTGCTGCTACCATGCTGCCAACACCTCCAGCTCAAGGGAGTCGAAAGCGGTCTCTCTCTGAGCTTGGTTTCCTAGGATTGTTTTAGAATTGCTTCAGTTTAGACATGCCGGTGCTCAGCTTTGCCCACAAAGTCTCCTGCTTTTTGTAACCCAGAGCATCAATGTTGTATGTCACTGGTATTCATAATATATCAAGTGGCAACACGAAAGGTGACATGCACTTCTAAGCAGCTGTGATGTGACAGAGTACAATGACATAACAAGGTTAGCCAAAAGCTCGCTTATTCATCAATTTATAAAATTAATTTCTAGGAAAAGAAAATACATCCGAAATACCAAGAAAAGAAACACAAGAACTTAATTATTCAACACGGAAGATTTTATTTACAATTAGACATAAGGATCTCAGAAAGAAGAGTTTGAGCTTTATTTTATTTGTATTGAGTTCATTAACATTTCTAATAAATGTTTATCCTGCACTGTTTGAACAAATGTAAATACTTAACATTAGCCTTAATAACATGAATTAACAATAACTGTAACTGATGCTTTGGACAAAATAACTACTAATTATAATTCAAGTGCAATCTAGGTGCTGAACATAGTTTAAAAGTCCAAACCTGCATCGAGATCAATGAGATTATACATATGAACAAATGTAATTTTGTGCATGCAGAATTGGGCCCTGAGACATTTAAAATCATGGCCTGACTTGCTGGATCACCACAGAGCACTAAACAACACTAGCAGAGCAAATGCAAACTTGCTGACAATTAGCTTGAAGCCACAGAAAATGAAGCTGAAATGCTAGTGTATCAAAAATGACAGGAGCATTGCTGTTCCTTTTGTGAAAAGATCTCACCATTAGATTCTGGCACGAAAGACTAGTTTTATTATAAAAACTTGGTGTCAGATCTTGAACCACAGCAGAGCTGTGCTTGTTTCATAGGAGAAGGTGACTTAATGACTTTAGCTGTTCTCATACTTTTTTGACCAGTCCATAGGACTCTAGGGATGCCTTCAGTTGTGTCAAACTGTCCCCAAACTAATATGGGAACAGAGCATCGCATATGACACCAGCATTAATGTAGAGATGAGAGAAAGGTCTTGTTTTTCATTGACTGGCAAGCACCATAAGTAATCAAATGCACAGGCTCTCGAAGTGAGTGTCATGCTTCATTCACATCTCCTGCCCTGTTACTTTGCATTTCCATCACGGCTGAAAAAAGAGAGTGTAGCCATGTACCACATAGACCTCATCTTCAGGAATAATCTCTTGGAATTTCTGTGATTCATCAGCCTGCTTATAGCTACATAACTTTGTCCACAAGGAACATGGGATTAAAACAACAGCATTGTAGTCTGTTGGGGTTTTCGCTTTATTTCCAAAGGGTGAAAACACCTTACTAAAGACACCTGGCCAAAGATATTGTCCTTTACTAGCAACACAAACCTTTCTGGTTTAAAGTCCATTGTAGCATTATTTCCAAACACCAGGCTATGAGAGGCTGGCCATGTTTGATTTTCCTTTTTCCTTGCAACTCTTATTTAAGGGGACAAAATATCCAAGAAGAAATCTTATAAAGAGCTGAACTTAGGCTCTCATTCAGAATTCAGTGAGTCCATGGGAAGAGACCCCACAACACTCAGTATCTGCCCCTTTGACTCTCATTTCTAAGATATGGCATTCAGATTAAATGAAAAAGTAAACCATTTACGCAGATGGCAGTGTTTGCTACCTGTCTACAGACCGGTGCACCTCATTTAACAAACAGTTGCACTAATTTCCTTGTGGCAGACAGTTTATCAGTAAAGAATTGGGGCTACCTGTTTTAATTTATGTTCTTCTATAGCAAGGAAGTGGAACCCTCTGATGTTTGATCAAAACCATTATCTTAGTCTTTCCTGTGTCTGGAGCATTCTGGGATATTTTCTCTTGACCCTTAAGGCGACATATCAGATCGTTCTCTAAGGGAGGACTTGGGCGAAGCAGGGTTAGGGCAGAGCAGAGGCTGGTGTTCAAGCAAGAGCCAGAAAGAAAAGCACACGGGAGGCAACAGAAGGAGCAGTGGAGCAGGTTGGGAGTTAGGGAGTGGTTCAGATTACTAAACAGCTGTGGAGCCAAATGTTGATGAACAACATCAACATACGAATGATTGTGGTGTGTCTATGAGCCATCTCCATATAAAATGTATAAACAACATATTTTAGTAAGTCTTTTATTAACTTCATGTATTACAGTTAGTAACCTTACATATTAAACTTCACATTCAACGCAATTCACATCCCTGAATAGAGGACAGAGAGCAGTTCTATTGCAGCAGCTTCCATTCCTTGAAGGAACAGAAAGAAACGTTGCAATGAGAGCATCTAGAGCACAGCATGAGCTCAAAGGTGTTGTCATTCCCAGCCTGTGCTCAGAGACAGAACATCAGCAAACTGCTTTCATTTGTCTTGCAAATCCCAGAAGAAAAAAAAGTAGCAAGTTGCTTAAATGGCAGAAGGTGGACTAAAATCCAACTGCACCTCAGCTTCAGTCTGCTTGAATGTCAGTTAAAATTTGTAACAAGGTTCAAATAATCAAAGTTATTTGAAAGCATAGTTTCCATGGTGGTCTCGTTATTGATGTCAGAAGCGCGGACCTTTGGAAACATCAGCTTATTTGGGTTAGTGAGTTGGTCTTCTCAAAATGGAAAAGCACGTTGAATTCCATAGCATGTGGACTGACTGTGCCTTGAATCATACCTTTTGTCTCTGAATTGTAACATGCTGCTTGGCTGAAATGTCAATTAAACATTGACTACCTCTGAAGTCTTCTGTTACCTGTAGTGAAATAAAATCAGAATGCAGCATGCGATGAGGTAAGTCTTTGTCTTAAAAATGTCTCCTTACTACAGCATACTTTTCACCATAACATTCACATCTCTTCACTTGTTTTAAATCACTCCAAAAATGTGTTTGTTTCCCTAGATGTCAGTGCATTAATTCACCACTTGGTTATTCTACCCATGATGGGAGTATATTTAGTCTTAGTGGGCTAGGTATGTTCAGGAGATGTTTAGACTAACATGACAGTGATGCACGACTGAGAGAAAGAAGTGAGAAACCCTATCCAATACTCAATAAAAAATGTCTTTTACAGGGGGTTTTCTGAAACCCCTCAGTCAGGGGTATGTCCTGGAAGAGCACAGGAATCTGCAGTTGTGTGGCCTCAGTCCCAGAGAAGTACTAGAGGGCACTTCTAAACAGTTTAGCAGTCTTGGATAAAATGTCTATTTTCATAAACTCAACAACAATTGTGTTGTGTTTTGGAATAAAAAAATGTTGGTCTTCTGATATAATTCCCAATACCCTCTCCTGAGTGTGTTAAGAGAATCCTGAAAGATTAAGGCTGGGAAGAGAATTTGAAAACATTAGCTAAATTATCTGGATGATTTCGCACAGAACAACTGCTGAATTTACTAGCACTTAAAAAATAAGAACAGCTAAATAGGTAATGATTCTGAACTTCTTGAAACCCTGAGGAAAAGTGCTGAGGACTGAGCTGTTAGTGCTTACTTACTTATTTTAATTTCTTGGATCTGCAGATGAAATAGGAACCCATGAATGCAAGGAACAGCACAGAACCTGTGATGATTAACACCATCTGCAGCACACTCAGCATCTGGACCCGACCAGTGACTTTATTTCTGAACATTTCTGCTTTCGCATCCCCAATAACAGCAGACTGAAACAGTGCAAGAAAAATATCAGTGAAAGATAAGTATGCAAGCCCTCACTTGCTGAATATATACATGCAAATCACGGCATGAGTTTAATTGCCCAATTTCAGGGCACCAAGACTGAAAAAGCTAGGTCATTTCTTTTCTTCTTTTTTTTTTTTTTTAAACAGTGAAGATTAAATGACAGAAAATATACTAACCTCATTTAGCCAAAGAAGAGGAAAAATATAAGGTTTTTGAACTTTTGATAAAGCTCTGAAATGAGAAAATAAGTACAGCATGTTACCTTTAGTTTGTTGCATAAGCCCAGTCTCTGCTTAAACATTTTTATTCTCCTCTAACTACATTTCTACCTTCCAGGTGTATATTTTTAGTATAGTTTTGGACTAAAAAAAAGTAAGCCTACAGCCATTTTACATATCGGGAACCATCTCTTTCTGTCTAGTCTTCCATATGTGGGTAGTCAGAAAAAAGAAAGAAAGGCTGGACATAGCTAGGTGTTGGTGGGAGGGTCTGAAGATCTGCGTGGTGTTCAGCTGCCAGATGTACAGGATGCCCAAATGCATGTCTGTACATGTACATTTGGGCCAATGAAGAGAAAGAAACAGCTGGAGGCTGGTCAATCCTTGGTATGAAATCCATGTAGTGATAGAGCACACATAAATTCTCTCTCTCATTGGATTTATTACAGAAAATACATTTTGCCTTCTAGTTCATCCTCATGGTCCCCACTTGGGTTTTGCAAGAATGTTGTTCTTAAGAATAACATAATAATGTTGCCTTGTAAGCTTCTGTGGGGAAATCAAATGTGTGCTAAAATACTTGGGCAGTGCGTTACTCAAGAAGGCTTGCTCTTTGGCTGAAATTTGTGTTTTTTGAAAAGTCATGACTGAAATTTTTGCAAGAAAAATGAAAAAGCTTTGGGAAAGTATTTTTATTCCTTCTTTTCCCAGCCATTTCTGACACTCTCATAGACCAATCAGGCCTCTTGAAAAAAGTCTTTAAAAACAAAATAATGAAGTAGTACTTACTCAATTTTTGGTGTAGGCTTCACAAGGAGGTTTACTTGCAGCCTTTTCGCAAACTGTAGTGTAAAACCAGTGATCTAAAACCAGGAAAAAAAATCCCACATTAATTTAGATTTTTGAATTGGATACCTAAGCCTAGAATATGGACTGTGTCAAAAAGCACTCTGGTATTATCTTATCCTTATGTTTTTAAAGATTCCATTTTTATGAAGTTTTATTGTTTCTAAGAGTCTCTAATTTCTCATAGAAGTTCTGATTTTGTGGCTTTACCATAGTTACTTTTGTAATTTGCAATTAAAATTGGAGGTAAAAAAAAGATTAAAAATTCTAAAACAGTCATGAAATGTTTTATATAAAAATATGTTTGGGTTTTTTTTTCCACCACAAATTAGCTAAATTTTCTTTTTCAACAAGAAGGATATTTAATTTGCGTAGCGCCAAAACCAAACATTTCCTATTAGAACAAACTTATCAAAACAAAGATCAGATCTTTTCTTCATCTCCTTCTTTTCTCCTCTGTCCTCCACAAAAATAAGACAGGGTGTGATTCTTGAAAATTTCATATCAGATTTAGGAAATTCTGGTTGACGTCTCTATTCCAAATAAGGTGAAACAACTATCGATCTCCTCATTGAAGTTACATAGCTTAACTATCAAATTATATGCCTGAAAATATTTTAGTTAGTAAGAAATCCTGAATTTTAACTTTTTACCCAAATTCAGAGCACAATAAAATCTTGGAACATTAGAATTCATCACACAATTCAGAAAACTTTGGTAAATACACTTAAAGTTAAGAATCCGAACCACTTGAACAGAAGTAGAGGTAAAATTGGAAGCAAAGCAATCAAAATCAGAGCTGTCAAAAATTCATTCAGTTTGCAATCTCTGTTGCATAATTCGAGTCACAAAGACTATATTAGGTCTGTTCTAGAGTAGTCTGTTCAGACTTCTAGAAATTTTCTTGGAAATAAACTGATCTATATTATTTAATTTCAATTGAGATAGTAATTATACAATAATGGCTAGCAATGGAAAATGAAAAAAATTAAGTATAGAGGGAACAGAAGAACTTTCATAGGAAAGAATTTTCTGAAAGTACTTAAAGGTCATAGAAAAGCTATAGCATACTTCAAAGTTTGCAGAATCTATTTAATCTTACATTCCCAATAAGAAAATCAAAACTTATTTTCCAGACTTTGAAGGTCAGAATGAGAAAAAGTTCTGCTCTAAATTTCCCCTGCTAAAACCATAACACTTTTTTGAGCAGATCTTGCAAAAGCAGATATGGATATATTGTATCTTCTGCTCATCCCCCTGGTAAAAGGCCTACTCTACTACAATTAAATTTAAACATTGCAAGTTTACTGAGTTACAATTATTAAATATTTGTACTTACAGGCTCTACATCTAGAAACGTCTCGTGCTCCTTCTCATTTGGGCTCAGGCCTTCAACATCATGCAATACAGAATCACTTGCATGAAGAAAATGCGGAAGAGAGATAAATACTGGTCTTCCTATTTGAAAAAAACAAACTCACTTGAATCATTAAGCCTTGTTTCAGTGCTCACCTTCTGAGACCATTTTCCATGCAAACATAGTTTTTTCTATAGACACACAATCCTGATAAAAATGTTAATAGTCGCCCCCCCCCCCCCCCCCCAAAAAAAAAAAAATTTGAGCGTTTCTGTGATTCTACTGTCGTGAGGAAAATTTGCATGGTGAAACAAATTGTCGTTACAAATCCTGCTTGTCTGTGTCTACACTGTGGAGCTGGCAGTGCTTCCAGTTTCATGCTGAGGTGAGGATCTGACTGTCAGTCTTTCCCTCCAGCTTCATGATCTTGTCTTAGTAGAAAGCAAGCCTGAAGGGAACCCATGCTGTCCACTCTGCACCAAACACAGACTCTGTATATATTTATTTTATTATACTGATGCTAAATTAAGCTGGTAGTGTCTGACAGTCTCTGCATGCGTATAGTTGTACACATACACACGGAGTGTGTGAATTATCACAAATACAAAGACCGTGACTATCTCTGGCTTTTATACAGTTTCCCCTCCTTTCCGTTCTATACATGCATTCCCGCAGTTTCAGTATACAATCTATTTTGCAGAGCACTATGCAGAATACAGAAATATTATAGCCCTCATTTTGGGAAATAAGGCTGCAGAAATGTGAAAGGTCTCACAGGCAATCTGTGGAAGAATTCAGACAAACATGAACATCCTGGATCTTAGCGTACCACCTCAGCTACAGGACACGTGCTTTCTCCACAGTTAAATGGCTCCTTTGGTAGTACCATGTCACTACTATACCTGCTTTGCAGGTGCTAATGTCTAGGACTCCAGCTATTGTGCAGTTCTTTGATATGACTTCATCTCTACAGAAGCAATAATTATCTCTGACTTCAGCAGGTGATGCAAATGCTTCACGAGGAACTGCGAAACGATAGAGTGAGATTCCTTTCACGTCCTGCTTGCTCTGGAAAACTCCATAGATTGATCTGAATATAAAAGAGGAGAAACATGCTTCAGGCATTTGGATTAAAACTCTGAATTCATGGCAATACTCCTTAAGATTATTCCCCCAAGCATCTCTCTCTCTTAAAAGAAACAAGTACTCCAGGGAGCTGATGTCCAGGCTCCCTTCACACTTCAGCAGTTTGTAGGGGTGTTCCTGTGTGACAGAGAACATTCCACACTTTCACAAAAGGTTGTGCAAGCTCAGAGGTGAGCACAGCAATACACAAAAAAGACAGACAAAAATACTACTAATAAACAATATACACAAAACTAAAAAATTAATTAAGAGCTCTTTTCCTACGCACTTCGATACCCACTGTTATTATGAAATTTTGAAAGTTTTTGGACTATAGTAGAGATACTTATCAATATAAATCAGCTCTGCTACAGATTTTTGCTGACCTGATAATACTAATCTAAGCTTTATGATGCAGGCAACATTCTGCATATAACCTTATTCCACTGCATACGAATCAGAATACCACTTAAGCTTCTTTTTGCTGATACGTTATCAACTGATACAGAGATGTGGTTGTTACACAGTAATGTAACCAGGGCAGCAACACTTTGTATTGCAGCCAAACAAAAGAAGGGTTCTGGGTTTTGCAACAAGGACAGAACCATTTTCCATGACTCCGTTTCAGCATGACCTTTGAGCAATTGTTACTGTCCTCATTGTTCATTAATTGCAAGAAATAAATGGTCAGAGGGATCTCTCAAACTGTGTGCAATCAATCCAAAGAATTTTATCATTTCTCCTCTGCAAAGAATCCCCTTTTCCATGAAAAATGTGAAATGATTGTGAAATGCTTTCCAGTTTGGAAAGCTTCACCAAAAAAACCCTCTAACTTCTTATAAAAACACCAACCTTTAAAAAAAAACTTTCTGCAAAGCAAATGGCCCACTTCAAACCTAGTTAAAAGGAACCAGCTGTTTCCAGGCAGCAAAATGGACAAAGGGGTCGAACCTCCCAAAGTAAATACACTGTGATGCACTTTAAATCTTTTACCATTGCTTTCAGCGATCCCACTGGAGAACTTGGGGACACTGGCTAGCCACAGCAGAAGCAGCAGGCTGAAAAGCCATCAGTATGGGATGTATTAAGCAGGTTTGTTTGTTTGTAAATAGATAAAAATAAAATATGTAAAAATATCCTGTGAGAAAACAATTTTGAGTATCTAGTGGATGACAGTAGATCCAGATCTGCATAAATGATGTTCTGCAGAAATGCCAAACGTACCTATTGCCTTCTCAGACCAAATAAGGCAGGTTATAGCCTGCGTCTTGATCTTAGAAGTTCAAGGCTTTGAACCCTGTGGCCCTCAATGTCTTTCATAGATCTGTAACAGCTCACAACAGTGTCAGATATTCCTGAATTATACATCTGTAACTGGCTGAAATAAAATACATCATAAATAGCTTGCTACTTGGCATAAATAAAAGTGGTAGAATCAGGTTCTGAATCACGAGCACAGCTCACAAATTTATTTGTGTTTAGGTGAAACGTTTTTGTTGAACTGCCTCGGGGACCTAAGCCCAAGCAGAGCCACTGCAGCCACCCTCTGAACTGAAAGAGCATTTGGGTGGCACGTGCAGGCGTGTACGCACATCAGGAAGGGACCAGCCTACCTGCAAATGTCAGAGGAGAAGAAGCGCAGTATCTGATCCTTCTTAACAAATGGTGGGAACGATGCCCCATCTGCGAATAAAATAAAATAAGAGGTTCAAAGCAATTCCACTTAGAAGACATGATTTATTTTCTAGCTCAATACTCAGCTGTTACTTTCCTATAAAGCTGTGAAAAGAGAAACAAAATGAGTCATTTATGGGGAAAATATTTATCTAAGTTATTGCACAGTGACAGGCACTCCACAGATAACATTGAATTGGTTTTGAAAGTAAGCCAAATTATGGCAGCTGTTTTGTGGTTGGTTTTTTGTTTTGTTTTGGTTTAGTTTTGGTTTTTTTTCACAGATGTGAAGCTGTATGATCAAGCCCATTAAAAACAGAGGATACAAAAACCAATCCTGCTTAATATGAAACCCAATACCTGTTGCCATTGCTTCAAGGTTTATGCAGTCTAAAGACCTAAACCTTTCTAGAGGTGCTTGGTTCCTCTGCAGTTATGGCATTCAGCTCTTACAAGAAACACAGTTTTAGACTTCAAAACTGCCTATTTTATAACCAGTGCTAAACCTTTTTTCACCAAAGATTGCTCAAGTGGACCTCTTCTTTGTAAGCTGAGATCCTCTCTATAGCTAATGGAGAGAAGGAAGGACTTCTAGGGCACAACCCATCTCACCCCATGGTAGGCATGCAAAATAGGTCAGAGGAATAGCACTTTGGTAATGTCTTTTTCTCTACTTGTTATAAAAAGAACACAGACAGCCAGTTCAGATGCATATTTCTGCACTGCAAGCATCCCGAGTTAAGTAAGAGGACTCTGCCATTTTCTCAAATGAGCTGTTGTAACAAACCTTTAACCAGTACATTTGTTACTTCTTGCTACAATTTCTGTATAGTTTCTTAGTCAGCAGCCATAACCAAGGGATTGAAAACATCTGTGGTATCTTTGAATCTAGTTGGCAAGAGTGATAAAAGCTAAATTACATACTGCCACTTGCCCACTGCTGACAGAAGCACTTTTTCATAAAGAAGATCCAAGATCATCCTAGACACACACTCTATTTCTAAATCTTGGCAGTCTTGGAGAGTTTGCAAACATGGACTCATTTCAAGCCCCATACAAGAATACTGCTTAATATTTTTATCTAGGTATTTACTTATACTATATATGCTGCACTTTGGTGCAAAAGCTTACGTGATAAGAAGGAATTCTCACACTTGCTTACAAGACTTTTTAAACCTCCTGCTTCTGTAAACATATGGTCCCTCCTGAGCAGTCACATTGAATGCTCTTGTAAACTGTGCAATAACCTTTGCTAACAAGGAAAAGCTCCACATTTTCACTGTACTGGAGCACTTAGTCTAGTTAGCTGAGTATGTTTATTCTGTCAGCTGTGGAAGAAGAAAAAACAAAAAGCTGACCCTGGGAAAAAAGGGTTCAGGCTCCATAAGAAAGAAGGAAAGTCTTAGAACCTAAGAAAATATTGCCTCCTATAAAATTAATTGCATGTTTTAAAAAGGAACTAATTGGTTTTGATTCACAGACTTTTGGAAAGTCAGATTCTTGTGATGTATTTGAAATACTTCAAAATAACTTGCTCTGTGCTCTGGGTTATAAGGAAAATGATATATGCCAGGTAAAGACACATAGAAAAGAAAAAAAACCAAACCAAACCAAAACAAAAACCTGCTTGTTTTGATAGTTGCCCACTGAAGGCCTACTGCTCTTTGCAAAAGCTTTCACTGTGACATCTGCCAGCCTCAGCTCAACAGATTGTGGTGTCCTAACAGCGACTCTTTCACTCATCAAGAAGAAAAATATCCTCTTGAATAAATGTATCTTAAACACTCAACTGTTTTCATATGCATTCCAAAAGCAAATTCAAAAATATTCTTCTCTAGTTTATTCTTCCCAAACTAAATTACTTCTTTTCTTCATCCCTTTTCACTTGTGAGTGGCCTCCAAGCCACTTGTCTGACAGCCTTCTTCCTTGTCACCCCAATTGCTTTTCATATCTCAGAAAAAAACTATTCTGTCTGTTCTGGTGCATTTAATTTTATTTTTCAACATTGTAAATGAATGTACATTATTAGAATGTAAAGATATTTTTCAACTGCTATAGCAAAGGAAAAGAATCTTAGTTATATTGTACTATATAGATAATTAGTAGAAACAGAGAGCTGGATTCTTTTCTTGTGTCTCTTCCACATCTACTCTAGCTGAAGAGAGTGTATATATATATATGTATATATAAAATAATGTACAATAACATATAATATATATTATAACGGATACACACATATGCATGTATAGCAGTAGTAGGTATACATTCATATTTATATAGACATTTAATATACAGAATACAGAATTTCAAATACCAGGGGAATTACTTTAAAGATTTTATCTCATTATTCCCTTGCAATATCAAGAAATGTGTTGAAGTTTTAAAAAGCTTTAATAGGCTCACCTGTGCCATTAACCAAATCGCAGTGGCCTTCCCAGTATGCAAGATTGCTTTAAAATAAAAAAAAAGTCATTCTGCATGTAGTATGTTATACCGTGTAATCCATTTCATTACCTGTATTGATAAATATAACTGTTCTAGTATAAGCCTGATCCATAAGAAAAGTCAGAGTATGGAGATGTTCATTCATTTATTCAGATAAATTATATGATGCACTAGAATTGGATAAAAGGGATCTAGCTATTTAAGTATCCAAAACAAAAGTAACTAATTCTATCAAAGAGTCAATAACTGCCTTAAATCCGAGCTCCTAACAGAATCATTAATAGCTGAAAGAGAGAGGTGATTTTGCTAAGCCCAGGACTTGATCCAGCTTCCTTTGCGTTGTTGAAGATTTTCCATTTATCTATATCTTAGTGAATCAAGCCTTAAAAGCCATACCTTGAAAATATGTATGGTTTTTAATTATACAACTATATGATACCTTTTGTTTTTATAGCTTTCAATTATGGCTGTTTTTTTAATATCTTCTTTCCCAGTATAGACTTTGTAAAGTCCGTCGAATGTCCCATTATACTGTAACAGACATAATAAGAAGGAATAACAGTTAGCAGTACTGAACTATATTGTAGCATTGTCAGATTATTTTTTCCTCACAGCAGCTGCCTTAATTTTTATTCACAGAATGATAACTGAAGGCTTTGCCTCCTCATTGGTTTCGCTTACCGGGTAGAAGACTCCCAGAACTGGGTCCAAGGGGAAGGGGACCTTACTTAAGAAGGGATCTTTGTATCCCCACAGTAACTCTTTCACTGTTCTGTTCTGCAGCATGGATGACTTAGAAGCTTTAATCCAGGTGTTCAGTAGTAGTTGTATAAAAGTATTTGTATACAAGGAAGGTGCAGCCTACAACAGCAATAAAATTAATGTTTAGCATAAAAATTCTGCATGTGCTTTGGATCAAAAACACAGAGACTGACTCCAAGAAATCTCTGGCAAAGCCAGTTTCCAGAGTTGCAGCTCACTGTAAGTTAAGTTTCTACTTAAAACTGACTCCTTAACAAAACAATTACTGGGCATAATTTACACAAAAGTAGACAATTTGTCTTTACTGCTTACATGAGTTCACTAGACCATCCCTAATCACAGAACCACAGGACAGTTGAGGTTGGAAGGGACCTCTTGAGGTCATCTGGTCCAAAGTCCCTGCTCGAGCAGGACCACCAAGAGCCAGTTTCCCAGGACCATGGCCAGACGGCTTTTGAATGTCTCCAAGTAATAATCTCAAATCCCTATCTGTATAACATGCGCTGTACCACTTTCAGTTTTCTTCCTCTTTCTGTCATCTCCATATGTCACATACTTCAGACTCACTCACACTATAAATGTGTAAGTAAAAATATACAAGCCTTGGTACTTTCTGACTTAGATAAGTGGTTTAGATTTGCTGTTATGCTAGCAGCAATACACCTGTATCCTGCATAAAACTGATAAAGCACTGCATCTCCATTATTTCTTTACTTAGAAAGAATACATATTTGCAACAAATGACTCCTTCTTTCTGAACGGCTTCTGAAATTTCTGAATTCTAAATAATGGATAACTTTTCCTAATTCAATGAAGAACAATGTAGATTTACCAGCAATAATTGTAATGAACGTTACCAGAGGCATAAACATAAAGTCAAGTCCCTAAAGACAATGAATAGCTTGTAGAAAGCAAACAGAAATTATCTATGTTGGCCTGTCTGGTGAAGCAGAAAATTGTAATAATTTTGATAAGTAAATCTGTGCAAAAACAAGTGATTCTCTTAGAGTAAGTGCTCAGCCTAGGCCCAGTAGTGGGCCATCTCTTTGTACTTAGTGCTGTGGGGATAGCAATGGAAGAGTCTCTTTTGCTCTCATTTCTCCCCCCTGAACCACATGAATCTTTTACTTTTGTCTGAACTGGAATGCAGAGTAAGCAGAAGGCATGGATATGACAAGATTATGAGGCAGAAGAGATGTGGGTTCAATCCCCTCAGGGTTAAGAAAGTGTGAAAAATATGTGTCTGAGTTCCCTTGTGAGTATTTTGACAACAAGGTTATGATATCAAAGGTGGACTCTACTGGATTAAAGTCAGTGCTGTCAAACAAGATAGGCAGAGCCTCTCTGGGAGGTTAGGTTTACACCAGTTTGTTTCTGAATAGCAAAATGAAGCTTGGATCCTCTGTTCTCAACCCCCCTGACGCAGATGTTTGCAGGCATGAGCCTATGCTTAGACCCATAAAGAGCTATGTGGTCCAAAGTGTGGGAGTTGAGCCGTGTCCGTTAATACTGTGACATGAAGGACTCTGGGCATAGGAAAAAAGAACAGCTTTTCAAAAAAGAGATGCTGGCCTAAATTAGGACATAGGCAGAATATAACTGGTCTGAATAAGGCCATTTGCTCTTAATTATTAGGTCTTTTCTCCCTAGAGAAAAGAAAGCTTAAGGGACCTCATCACAATATTCCAGTACTTAAAGGACAGCTACTAAGAGGATGGAGGCTCTTTCTTCACAAGGAGTGACATGGAGAAGACAAGGGGCAACGGGTACAAGTTGCACCAGGAAAGGTTTCATCTTGACAGAAGAAAGAAATTTTTTACAGTGAGAACAGTCAATGACTGGAACATTGTAGAGTCCCCATCACTGGCAGTTTTCAAGGTGCAATTGGACAGGGTGCTAGAAAATTTCATATAGGCTCCCTTTCTCAGAAAAGATTCTCCAGGCAGGGAGAAGAGAAAAAATCCCAAACCCTAGAGGCCACAGGTTGAAAATTGAACAGGCCAACCGAGACATGCCAGGTACACTGAGGTGACCTTCTTGGCCAATAGGGATTAAAATGACCACAGATCAGATTCGACAAGGGTATAAACGGGGTCCCACCGGAGGACACGTTGGAATCAGTCCTCCTCAGAGCAGCGGGTCTGCAGTCGGGGACTCCCCCTTGGGTCGGGGCACCGCCCGAGGTAACTCCTCAAGGGAGAGAGCCCTCATCTTTTAGGTGAGTGATATGCGCATTTTGAGTCATCACTTTTAAATCTCAAGGATTCTTAAGTCAGCTGTGTAGTACTAATTCCCCTTATGTCATTGAACCTATAGTTCACTATGGTTACCAGAGTTCTAACTAACTTTTCTACTGAAGAATAAATCTGAGCTTGAACACCTGTAGGATTTGATTGTGTGTGCCTCCGTAACAGACAGGAACAAGTCAATTTTCATTTACCGTTAGGATTACCCTGGGAATATAAGGAAACCTTAATATATATATATCTAATGTACTCAGATTTTTTTTTTTTTTTTTAAACACAGTAATACAGCTATCCTTAGCTGACACTGATGTCATCTGAGTTCATAGAGAGAAAACCTATCCTGTGGCAGTTTCAGTATTACTAATGCTAACTTCTCCCCTATTTCCTCCAGTATCTCAACATTTGAATGTGGACATTGTGGTTTTGTTTCTTTACTTACAACAACAGCAAGGTTGAGGCACGTGATGGTATCATTTTCTGTCCCAACAGACATATCAGGTTCAAAACGAGCAATGTTAGGCAACATGTAGGATATTGTGCCATCAGAGTTTTCCGTGATATTTTCTTTGGGTAAATATCGCACCCTTGAAATACAAAATAAAAACATAGAATATTTTTAACATTTGACTTTCAAGACAACACATAACCATGCTGACTGAAGTTTTTTGAAAAGTTGATGAACATTTTTGTAGATGAATGTTGAACATTTTATAACCACTGAAAGGATTCTAAAATTTTAATGTGAGTATATGTAAAAATTCCATTTTCTACAAAATATTTTTCATTTGGAAATATTTCCTTAGTGCCTAATGGAATTTTTTTCTTGATACTAAAATGAAAACAAATATTTCTTTTTTATTTTATTTCATGGACCTTATTTATTTTATGGACCTTGTATCTTTTTATATTTCGTTTTAAATTAATTATGTTTTGTCACATTTTTGTCTAAGCTTTCTCGTGCTTGCATGTAATTGGAAGGGGATGACTTAGAATGATTAATAAACACTCTTAAGTTTCGATTTGATAGGCCTGTGTCGCAACAAAACAGATTACAGGTTAAATCCGTAATAGGAGTCACTCTGATAACATTTTATATGCATATGGAGATTTATAAGCTGTCTTTCAGCTCCACTGAGATTCTCATAAGCCTCTCAAGAATACCTTGTCAGCAGATCCCTAAGATACAGATCTCTGAGCCGCTGCAGTTCTAGTTTTAGCTCAACTCTTCAAGTCCCCATCCTCTGGCTGACCCCTCTGTGGCATCATATGGCTTAGCCTATGCTGTGGGTCCACAAACCTTGTCCCAGCTCCGTCCCAGAAGGGATCTTGAGGGTACTCCATCAGATCTTCCAGCCTGGGCATAGGGGGACCAAAAGGTTCGGAGAGTATTTCCCCATGGTACAGATGTAGCCAGTGCAGGTGGGCCTTACCCCCAAAGCAGCTGGATCTTGGCTTCTCAAGATTGGTTTCTGTGCATGTCATTTTAATTAATAGCCTAATGTGCAGAGCACCTACCTGGAAGTTGGGAGATTTTTTTTCTAATTAATATTACTTCTAACGAAACAAATGACCTAAAACAAAGTTTCCCAACAGAATTGTGGGGACATTTGCATTTTCAAGGCCAATAAATAATTAAATATTTAATAAATAATTAAATATTTAAAGGGAGATTGAGAGAGAGAGAGAGAGACACCCAGTGTCACAGTGATTCAGGGACACCCAATGTCCCACGTGAACATGACCGCAGCAGTCAGAACAGCTATAGCCATCATTTCTTACATGGTATCATCTAGGCTTCTAGCAGAGATATGTCCCTAAGAAAATAGGCACAATCACCACCACCAGAGTAAAACACTTCTGTTTGGCAGGAATTCACCTTCTGTGGTATTTCTTAAGTGATTAGTTTCCTGATTCCTGTGTAACCATTTCCTATGTCTTCCCAGCTGCTCTATAAACAAAGAGTTCTCTATTTCCAGTGAGAAATAAATAGTCTTTTAGGCATCAAAGCACCTCAGCTGTAGATGCTGCAATGCAAAACCAGCTTGCAAATACAATATGAATCCCCAAAGATATCAAGAAATAAATATCTTATCATTTTAGGAAAGCAACTTCATAAGAAATGTGCCAGTCATAGCTGGGTATTGAGCTTAATGACTCAGGAAGCATCAACTAGTCCTATGTCAACATCAGAACTTTCTCTGACTTTAACAAAACTTCTGATACGACATGTCACATATTCAGGGGGCTTTGCTTACCTGTATGTGTAAGGTCCTCTTTGTTCAAGTTTTGGACGTGCTCCTTGGTCTAATACTTCTGAGGGATTTTGCACATGGAAAACCCAAAATTGCCTGTAAACTGAACTTCCTGGCACACGCCAATTTTCAAAAGCAATGGTACCATTTGCAATGACAGCTTCCTAAAAGGACAAAAATCAAAGCTAAAATTAAGCACAAAAAAAAAGAGTGACAGGCTGCATTTACTCTCTAGAGGATTGTAGAAGATTCCCAAACAAACACAAAAAAAACCCCTTTTATCATCAATATAAGGCATGCAGCACACATTTTTTGGCCAATATTTGAAGGTAGCCTGACATTCCTGCTCAGGGAGAGCAAAAGTGAGTCCCCCTAAAATAAGTGACCACAAAGCTGATATAATTGCTACTCTAGCCAGTAGCAAAACTTTCCTACTGCTGTGGTCGGGCTCTGCCTTAGTTCCCAAATACTTGCCAAATCCACTGATTATTTGTAAAACAAAAAATCTTTGAATGACTGAATGATACACAGAGGTTTTTAGAATCCATAAACTACTTTTCATATGTTTGCAAATAGCTCAGAGGAGGAAATGAGAGTTACCTCTGAGCATTACTCAGGCCCTAAGTAATTTTGCACCCAGAGAAAGCAAATAGTGTTCTTGCAGGACTGGTTTTTGTCAGAAAACTCTTGTCACCAAAACTGAGACTTTCTAAGAAATGTCTCTAGTTTTGATAACATTTTGTTAGGAAAGTTTCCCAGGTCTAGGTAACGAGGGCAAAATATGGCTATAGGGACAAGACAGGACATGAAGAACCACTCTAGAATAACCAACAGCTTTATGTCTGTGGCCCTCAGCTATAATATGGTAAATGTCTATTCAGTCCTTGGGACTGTACAGTGAGAAGGAGAGTTTGTTTCCTGCGTTGTCAGGAGAACGCCTGCTTTGCCTGATCTACATTAGGCCTCTTTCTAGATGAATTTCCCAAAGCCCTGGGATAATGTAGTTTTTCTCCTTGGTGGTAAAAATTCAGAAAAGTTTTCTCAATAAGAAGGAAAATCTAGGCTGCCTGGTTCCAACATATAAAATGGTTTTTTTATTAGAGTGGTGCAATATTAATTAGTTAATTTGCACGGCTCATAGAGTCCCAGGAATTAAAAGGCTGGAATCCCTCCAGATAGCAAGAAAAGACATTTTAAATTACAAGTTGCTAGATTTTCTTTCTAGCTTAGGTTTCTGCCTCTGGAGTTTGCTTAGCAAGCAAAGTTTAAAAAAAAAAAAGGGTACTACCAATTAAGAATCACTGCAGTTAGAAACAAATACCATGTCTTGGAGAACTCGTAACACAGTCAGGGCTTTGTCTGTGGAAAGCCTGTTTGTATGGTGGAGTTGCAAATGCCTTGCTGGTGGTGTAAAGCACTGGGCTTGCTCTCTGAATATCTGCTATAATTTATGTGCATTTGTGTGAGAGGGGAAGGAAACCTTGCTGCAGCAAATGTGTCATCAGCTTGAGGTCTTGCACTCTGACCTGACAGCTAAAATTCTCTTCAGCCTTGTTTTGCAAACCTCAGGAGGCCAAAGACTCCATCACAGCTGTGATCCAGCAAGGGACAGAGCACCTCCTCGATGAAGAGAGAAAAGCTTACAAGATTTGGAAATCACCTTTTCAGTTTCCACAGAGCATTGCTCAGAGAATCTGGGAGAAGTAGGCTGATATAAAGAAAGGCACAACTTGGTCTGCTCAGAGTCTGTGATCTGTACTCAGCAGGGTCCTGGGATGGGGACAGATGCCAGGATTTGACTTCCTGCCTCTGTGTAACTGGGGTAGGGAAATGGTTAAGGATTCCTGGCAGCTATATGGTCAAGAGGACAAACTAATCTCTCTAGAAGTCAACAACACACAGGCACAGACGTGAATAGAGAAGTTTCAGCCTTGTGACTATAGATTTTAAAGTAACGTTACTTCTTAAAAATCCTCTCCATCCCTTCCTCCCTCCCCTTATAACCCTTTGCTAGGGGTTATAATAGCACAGAATGATGTGCTAACTCTTCTGCCACTGCAGAGTTTGCTCAGTACCTGAGCCATAGGACCTCTCCTCCCATCCTGGAGAGGTGCAGAAATAGTCCGCAACCTGCCTCCAGCTTTAGACATCTGGGGCGTTTTGAAAAATGTTTATTCTGCAATGATCACACGTTACAACTTTGTGTTGACTTGGAAGAATACAAGGAACATGCTTCCTCACAGCTTTCTCCATGTAAATGATCTTATTTTTATCAAAGGGTGGATCTTTGCCTCTAATCCTCTCTCTGCTATTGCAGCGAAAACTAAGAGTGAGCAGGACGTTACACTGGCTTTTTAGTACAACCAGGACAATTTTCCATGTAAACTGAGACTATAGGCTGTGTCACGAGCCTTTTCATGTACATCCCGTACTGCCTCTTACTGCACTTCACTAGACTATGTACTTTCTTATCGATCTAGAACAAATTTGCTGTCCACCTAAAGAGGTAGGGTGGCTTGCTTTTATTTTTCATGCAAGAATAGCTAGTATGTCCGTATTATACCTTAGGAAATGCCGACAGAGAAAAATTACTTCGGGAGTTGTATGAAGATGTCCCTGGGACCTGAGTAAACAGGACAGCCAGGTCGCAATGAGTTACTGTGTGGACTGGCAGCCCAGCATCTGCTCTGTGCTAATGCCACCGTGGACACTCTTGGGGGATGCCTCAAGGGGAGAGCTGATCCGACCTGACAGTGCTGCGGCCAAAGGGGCTAGCCGGCTCCCGCAGCCCCCGGTACCTGATCTACACGCCTCCCCCTTCTTTGGGCCGGCTCTCATTCCTCAGGGAGCTGTTTCTGCCTGCCGGGCTGGAGGGAAGCTATTTCCTTTCTTTTTTTCTGGGTTACCTTTCTACCAGTGAGCCACTTGGTTTGGTGGTGTGGGTAGGGGCAAGGATCAAGTGAGAACCAGAGTTAAAACAAAGGAAGCAGCAGGACAAAAGAGGGAGGGGGAGGAAGGGAGCAAGACCGTTATTTTCGGTGGCATTCAGCCATTATTGTTAATAACATTTCTCCCACAAAGGAGGTGTGCATGATCTTCTGTCACATACTTCGAGTGCAAATGGTGGGTTAAAGTGGAAGAAAATCTAGAGATCTGTCTTTATTCATGTCTTCATTTAATAAATCTAGTATCCTTACACCAGCAAGCCCTTGGGTGTTGGCTGTCTGATCACTGGTGAGGCCAGCCCTAAATATTACCCCTCTCTATGGCTGGTCACTTGTATATTGCCCTAGTAACACTGCCATGCTTTGTGATATTATGAAAGGTAGGGTAATTTGGGAAACTGCTAATTTGCAGCTGATAACATGAAACACTTCTTAACTCCCTAGTCAACTGCATCAGCTCTAATATCTTATGCAAGATTAACTATTGTTAGCAAAAGTAGTTATACAATACATAATTGCTACACAGCAAAGTTCATCTCATGACCTAACTGTGCAAGACTGAGTGAAATCAATGGGAACTTTAACCCCTTTTGTTTCTGACACAATTTTTCCCCACTTGTGGTGGGTCAACTAGCAATACATAAATTCAAGAAATGCTGAGCAGTCAGCAATAGAAACTTGCTGTACTTTGTTGCTTTATGCTAAATTCAGCCATCATGATTTCTGATGAAGAAATACAAAATGTAAGACAAAGTTACTGTCTTGACAAAGGATCTGGCTAGATGGACAAAAGATGCCATTTTCTGGGAACTGAGAGATGCCGTGAATACTTGAGGCTGTAAAAAAATTGTCACAGTTTATGTCTATGTGTTGTATGTGTTGGGCTGCATATGTAAGCTGGAGGAAACAAACAATACAATTGTGTAGGATTATTAGCTTATTAGTAGTCTTTCTATCCAAGCTTTGTTTGATCAAAGCTTTTAGTCCTTTTTCAGTCCTTGATCATAAAAAATTATGGAAGCCAATCAAGTTTATCATTGATAATGCTGGAATATGTGCGATTAGATCACTTTTGTTCTGCTGGGAGGCAGCAGTTGCTTCAGCTTAATTTTAGATAAAGAAGTGGCATATGAATGTCACAAGCACAATTTTAAATTAGAAGTGTTTCCTATGCCTCCAGTAGCTGAGGAGTTACAATCTGGCCAACCATAGATAACAGATATGTAGACAGACAGATGGCTAAACTTAATAATAGCTAAAATTGATAGCTTTATTGCTAAAAATAGCAAAGACTGACCCTGAGGACTCTACAGAAAGAGTGCAGCACTGAGGTATTGTAGCAAATCATACACCATTCTGTATTATCAATTAATCAGGAATTCAATATATTAAGTAACATTATGTGGCTTCTCTTAACCTCCTGAGCTCACACGCTCAGGTAGAAAGCAAAAGCTCTTAGAGAAGTAGCGATAAAGATTCTTCTGGAAAATGAATCAGCTACCAATGGGTTTGAGTGGTTAGACCTAGGGGTAAAAAAAAAGCTGATCAGCTAAAAAAAAAAAGTTTTACCATAACTCAAATAATGGGAATTTTGCCTAAATAAATAATATTGTTTTAAGGAAGGGAAAGGCAAAAAGTAGTAATTGAGCCATGTTGAAACATCTCCTTTCAACAATATCAGGTGCAAGCTTTCTGATTTGTTGTTTTAAATTCACCTTTTTTTTTTAATGTTAGGCATGATAATGTCTAATAATAATGATAACAGACATGATAATGTGCAACCGAAATGTGTGGAATCAGTTAAAAAGGTATATTTTGATAGCCTCAAACAAACTATTTTTTGTAAAGAATTCTGAAACTTTCAGGTTTCACTCCTAACTGTACCAAGGACAGTTTTCTAAACCTTCAAGAACTTCATGGACGGGCATCTCTCCCCTCTGGATAGATTCATTGTTTGGGGAAACTAGGATTTTTGGCCTTTGGTACTAGAATCAAAGGCATCTTTTCAGGGGGAAGTCTCCTTTCCCTGAAGAGTATCAGAGCTGAAATAGCTTAGCACTAATCTCCTTCAGTGGATCCCTGCCAAGGTGCTGCTGGTGTTGGTGTCATTTTGAGTGTGCTCTTCAAGTGATAGTTTCTTTAAAGAGCCTCAAAAAAGAGTCAGAAAATACATATAATGTTGCCATTTTTTAAAACCCTGCCCCCCCACTGCATGCAGGAGTGGAAACAGCTTATCTAAAAAAGATCTGAGACACAGGTAAAGCAGTCTGGTGTTAGAAAACATAGCAGTGTGTTTTGTGTTGAAGCAGAGATATATGTTAATAAAGTGGAACACAGGAAGGGGTAACATCTTGGTGTTACATGGACTTTGTTTGGGTTGTTCACCCATGGACTGTTCATGGGTGGAGAACAGCACCTGCCTGCTCGGAGATAACAGCCTATACCCCGACTGACAAATTTCTGAGGGCACCTGAGACTGTCTGTACACTTGCAGATGCTTTCTCTTTGCTGCAGCAACAGTATGCAGCCTTCCAGCAAAATACGTCCTGCAGTGTTTACTCAGGTTAATCTCTCAATGACTGAAACAGAGGAGAAATGAGGCTGATAGGGTTCGGTAAGCTGCAAAGATGTGTGGTTAAGGGAAGCATGCTCAGGCTTCTGCTGCTAGCAGAACAAGAATGGTAAGAACTATTGATGGCATTGATTTTTGAAATTGAAGTTGGCCCTGTTTATTGGGAGATGCTAAGAAGTTCAGCTGGACTTGCTTGTGAGTAAATTGATGACAAGGTGATTTGATCAAATCTTGATAACAACTTAATTTATGACAATTTGAGATGTTATAGTATCAAGTGTCCTAAAACTATTCATTCAGGAGGAAAAAAAAAATATTCAACATTTGTTTCTCTAATCCAGCAATAAAATTTTACAGGAACATTCATTTTCCTTAGAAATACAGGTTTGGTCTTACTGCATTGCTGTCAACCTGTGCAAAGAACTGCAATTTACTCTGAGATAGGATATGCAGAGGAACAACTAAGGGTCTTTTTTCAAGCTTTGGACTGTGCAGAATTTAAGATATGATTTTGCTTATAATGGTGATATCTGAAATGGTTTTTCCCTTTCATAAAAAATGTGGCATTTTGACATTTGATTTCATGCAGTGGGTGAGGACCTAAGTTCAGGCTTTGCCTTATAAGAGTACAAATAGAAATATAAATGGTTACAGGCCATATTTGAGAGAACATCTCACTCATTAGGGTTTTTCCTGTCCTAGAGTCTCTATTCTTGAGAAATTCCAAATAAAATTGTCATTGGAACTGATCTGTTTCTACCAAATATCTACTTAAAAAAAGACCTTTCCAAAAGTGAAAGATTTGGAAAAAAAAAAAAAAGTATTTTTAATATGGTCTGCTCAGCAGACCTGTTTCCTTTGCAGTCAGCTCTATACTTATCTTAAATATAACTGCAGTGAATAACAAATATTATTTTTTTTCTTACTATCCCTTTCATCAACACAGGTAAATCAGAATTAATTAGATTCAGGTAACTCTTGAGTACCTGCTGAACTGATCATATATTTCAGCTGTTGTACCTTGGCATATCTTTTCTGAAAAGGAATAGTCTTAAGAGTCTCATGGTCTTACTGAATAGTCAGCATGCCAAATAGCAAGAAAATAATCTAGTATGACTTGTGCTTAGAAAAAAGTATCCATTTACTTAAATAAATAAAGCCTCTACAAATTTACTCTTTTATGTCTTACATGAATACTGCTACAAATTTTCCTTTATGCATACATCAAACAAGCTGCCTTGAAATAGGTACAAACATCTGAAACACTATCACAATGCAGAAAATTCAAAAGAGGTTGAGGAAAAAATTACTCTGTCTAATACTTTACCACTAAGAACTCATGCGGATATAATTCAGTATGTAGGCATTTGCAAACCATGCTGTAAAACTGGTTCATTACTATAAGTAAACAGATGAACACATAACATTGCTCATATGTGTAATTTGCTTTGAAAATACTTAATGGCATAAGACAACAGTCTGGATTAACTCAAAGTAAATTTTTAAGGTAAGGAGATTTTTTTTATTCATAGAATCATAGGATAGTTTGGGTTGGAAGGGACCTTAAAGATCATCTAGTTCAAGCCTCTTCCATCAGATGGAAGCTTCCAACACCTTCCACTAGAGCAGGTTGCTCAAAGCCCCATCCAACCTGGCCTGGAACACTGCCAGGGATGGGGCATCCACAACCTCTCTGGGCAACCCGTTCCAGTGCCTTGACCACCCTTACAGTGAAGAATTTCTTCCTTACATCTAATTTAAATCTACCCTCTTTCAGTTTAAAGCCGTTACCCCTTGTCCTATCAGTACATGCCCTTGTAAAAAGTCCCTCTCCAGCTTTCTTGTAGGCCCCCTTTGGGTACTGGAAGGCTGCTATAAGGTCTCCCTGGAGCTGAACAACCCCAACTCTCTCAGCCTGACTTCATAGGATAGGTGCTTCAGCCTCTATAAATTTGAAAATTATTCTCTATAAAATCATTCTCAATGAAAATTATTCTCTGTAAATTTGAAAAATTAATGAAAAATACAGTAAGAATTGTAAAATTCCTCCACAGTTAGGTTTTCACTGAGTTTGCTGACAAAATGTTATGTAGAAGCCATTTTTTCCAATTTTTTAAAAAACGTGATGCTAGAATCTAGGCAGGGCTTCAACAGACAGTTTAACATTTCCTGACAGTTCATGTATCCACCTCCTCAATTGACTTCAACAGCTGTTAAGGGCAGTCTTTCAGAAGGGCCTTTGAATAAGTATCTCCACAGCCTTCAGCACTGCAGCAGATCATTAGGAGGACTAACCATCAGCAAAAGACCTTAAGGTTTCTAGATTTTTAACTGTAGGAGAGCCCACTTTGGCTGCCGTGACCCAGGGAGACTCCATGCCTCCATAGTGGACACCCCAGGGCTTCCATGGTCTTTCACTCCAGATTACTCCATGATTTAGATGCTCAGTTATACACCCTTTTCACCGAAGATTTAAGAAATTAACTTTTCATTTGTATTTAACCACCCCTAGATTTTAAAGACATAAAATCATCTAAAAAAAAAAAAAAAAAAAAAAGTGTCTGTCAGGTCTACAACACTCTACTTCTATTACCCTTCACACTCCTTGAATCAAGGAGATTTGTATGATCAGATCCTGCAGTCTTGTGGAGCACATTGACTTGGATCATATAGTCACAGAATGTGAGCTGAATGCATGTAAGTCTAGGATTAGAGATTCTGCATCAGAAGTTTGTTTAGATTATTTGCAGTACATAAATATAAGTGCATGGAATGAGTACCAAAATAAGAAAAAAATGCAGAAAAATAAATAAGTGGATCCTCATGGGAAAAGAAAAAGAAAGTAGAAGCAATCATAATTAAAATGAAAATAAAAAATGCTTACTTCTAAATTACATTACTGAAAACACATCTTGAAAACAATATTTTGGCTTCTCATGTGAAGCATGAAAGAGAGCAGCCAAGTAAACATGGCAATATAATTAATATATTAAAAAAAATATTGCTGCAGCATCTATTCCCAGGGAAATTTGGTTTGCATATATTTAAAACCCGTAGGTTTAATAAACAAAAAAAAGGAAAGAAGCAGAAACAGAACACAAGATTTAGAAATAATGACTATTCAATAACCACAAACCATATAGACTGAAAAAAAAAAAAAGGAAAAAGAATTTACCTTTTTTATTGCTTTGCCTATCAGGTGATCTCCAACTGGTATCAGAACTCCTCCAAAGATAGCCAACACAGCACCGATGACAGCCCCGGTGAGGAGCCCACAGTTTCTGTTACAGACCATTCCTCTCCTATGTCAGGATGCAGGTAGACAATGTAAAAATGTCCTTGCTGTAAGGCTTGAGGTTTTTTTCTCGCTTGTTGGTCCTGACAGACTCACTGATCTTCCTGAGAGAAGCTGCTAATATAAGGAGAGAGTGGATAAAAATCACATTCCAAAGCTCAAAGTACAAAGTGCATGAGGTGAAGCAGGTAGGAAGATTACATGTCAAAACCAGCCAGACAGTGACAGCCAGTGCCAAAAAAAAAAAAAAGTTGCATGTGCTTTTGGCAAGCTAGTTAACTTGTTACATATTATTAACTTTTTTTATTCCAATTCTTTAAAAGACTGATAAGTCTAGCCTTAGTTGCACTAGTTTCACTAGTCTTTGTTTTGTTTTGTTTTGTTTTTGGCTCAGTTGCATTAGGTCAAACTGACATAATTACTACTCAGATGACACTCTTCCTGAGGCAAGCACCTTCTCTAAAATCTCTCCGTGCCAAAGGAGGAGGCTATAGCCTTCTGCAGTTAAGGCAGCCTGCAAATGCCCATGGCTCCCACTTCAGGCAAAACCAGGAGTTTACACCTCTAGCGTGAGCTACCCAGGCTGTTTCTGCATTATGCCAGTAAAGAAGTCCTCAAGGTTCATCAGCACCTTGGTGGGAATGCCAGCCTCTAATGGGAGGCACCTACGAAAAGCCCGTCTTTCCAGATCTCTGGCAGTCCACAGTCTACTACAGAAGGGATAAAACTTTGTTTCAGGCACTTCATGACAAAGACATGGCTAGATTTTCCTTTTAGAGCTGCATTCTTACCATCTCCTAGTTTCATCAATCCCAGCTGCCTTACAGAAAGGCAGATTTCTTAAAGTGAGTCTGGATTTTGATCTTTGAAAGATGTAGCACCTTATATTTCAAGATCATTCAGTCTCAGAAAAAGAAATATGTCTGCAATTACTCATTGGAAAACAACAGTTGCTGGTAATATATGCTAACATATCTTGATATCTGGCCCCTAGTGAAAGGTGTTGTAAAGAAAATCAGAATGATACCAGTGCTGAGAGATATGGTAAAACATAACCTCCCAGTGATACTTTTTCCTATTTGTTACTGTTTATGAATAACTGAGACAAAGAGCTGCCCAATTTGCAATTTATTCTTGCTCAGGAATTAATCACATCCACGGAATTTGCAAGTTTGTTACTTGCTTTAGACCTCCAGCTAACACAAAATCTGCTGTTATCTATTTTAGATGTCATTGTCCATATCCTTTTTATTCTTACCAATTTCTGTTTGTTAACATGTTGTGATCATCTCTAAATCAATTTTAAAGCAGGTATTGGCTGCAGAGTTAATTACGCATTCAAAGCCAAACACAGAGAGAGAAGGAAAACAGAAAGATGAAGTGGAAGAACAACTCAGTCTGAATTCCCAGATTGCTCATGAGGATTAAAGGGCTAAAAAATATCCATGGATTTCTAAATAGTAAAGCAAGTGTAGGAATAGCATGTGTTTTATTTTTGTAAACGCAGTTATAAGGTCCTTTCATTAAAAAAAGGACACATACAGCATGCATTGACATATAAGGTATCATGGTCAGCAGGCTGGTGATGTGTCCTCCTATGTCCTACCAAACTCACAATTATATCATGTCCATATGTAAGCCCAGACTGCTCTTTTTATCTGCATTGGAAACCTACCTTTTGCCTGCTCTTGCACTAGCAGCAGTTTCTGGCTCCCTTGCCGTTAACAATGACTATTTCTGTACATTTGAGCTCATTTGGTATTTTAATCGATTCTCTGTGGACATTTGGAAGCAGAATAACCAAAAGACTACTTGCAATCTCAGAACAATATCCTTCCTATAAAAGTCAGCCCATCCATCCACCTGCCACCAGGCCATTCCTTGCGGTTCCCACATCAAAACTTTACCCTTTGATTGCTTTACCTGCACACCCAAGGGACCAAGTCCCTTTTGCTAGGGACTGAGAAGAGTCTCTTTACAGCTGTAAACCTGGCTTTTCTGCTGGAGCAGGTACACCTAATTTGAACTGCAGGTTTACTTAGTTGCTTGCCTCTCTACCAGCTCTGCTACTCTGTGCCTTTGCAAGAACAGCAATAGAAACTCATCAAAGGGGTAACATTAAGAAAAAAAATCCATTTCCCCAGACTTTTCATGCAACTTGTTGCACTTTTCACAAACGTAACTAAAAGACGACTTGACTGAGTTATAAAAACACCAAGTTATTAAAGGCTCTTTGACGTAGCGGATGGATGCATAATGTCGCTAACAGCAAACTTCAAAGCAAACTCAAGTTAGAAATTCAGTGGACCTGGAGAACTTTTAAGTGAAAGTCACTAGGACCAACCCTCATGTCTTTGTAGATATGTTCAGATCAAGATCTTCACTCTGTCAAAAGCAGAACCGTAATACGGCTGTGCAACTCATTGGATAAGTGGTGTGGGAATTTAAAAATCTGACTGTTGTTACACATTGTAGCAAATCTAAGAAGCAGAAATTCTCAGTGAAATCAAATTCTGAAAAGTACATATTTCAAGTTGATTTCCCCCCCCCAATGCTATCTATTCTAGCAGATTTTTTTTTAAAAGTGTGGAAATACACATTTTACAATTTAAATGGAAATACCTCTTCCATAAGTGTTTAAAGAGGGCTTTTAGATATTGTCAGACTTTTTTCCTTGGCTTGCATAGTGAAGCTTCTCAAAATCAACACATATACACCTTCCACTGAAATACATTTCCATGTAAGTTTCTACAAGTTTTTTCCAATGGATTTATTGTGTGTTAGGCAGACTAGGTATCTAGCACTAGCAATAACCAGCTAGAAAGCAACTGGCTGATAACAACTTGTGTCTATTCCAAGATTTTGCAAATTGTAAAATATTCACCCTTCTCCCACCAAATGCAATGCAATAGCAGCCTAGACACATCTCAATTTATGCAATTTAAATTATCCATTACACAACTGCAATGAAGAGCACTCACAACGTAACACTCAGTTTCACATAGAAGTCAACAAGCTATTCTCACCTATCACAACTGAATGTAAAATATGAAGATTAAAGTAGAAACTTCCAATAAGAATGCACCTGTGTCTGGGAACTCATATTCAAGGGAAAATTATTTACCTTAAGCAGAACAGAAAATACCATAACAAAATGAGATATTGTCTATGTGACTATAGTATCATTTCAACTTATATTTGACTACAGGATTAATAAGAATATTCACCCCATTCCAGAGTCTTGGGTATCTACTTTTTAATATTGTTTCAAATGACCTTAATAGAATATTGACAATAGAAATGATCCATTCAAATCTCTGAAAAGACAGTTTATAAGCAACTGAATAGGAGGAAAGATGCAAAAAGTTATTAAACTTTTTCTTCCCTACTTAACTTATGCTTCTGTACATGCTAGTTTAAAGCAAGCCCTTATAAAAATCAAAAAAATATTATCTTTATTTTCTTAATGATTTCTCTAGCTCTAACAGTGATTTTTAAACTTTGCATGACAAGGCATTACTTCAGTTCTGACAAAGGATTAGATTTATTGCTGCAAATGAGAGCCCCCAACTACATGGGGAAGAAGCAATGTGTGTAGTGAAAATTAAAATGGGTTTTGAAAACTCCTGTTAAGAGTTTCAACCCAAAAAACATGTTGTTTCTTTAAACATAATTCCAGTTTCTCCAAGGTCAGATGGTGTGATTAAAAATCCTGACTTTATTAAGAGATACATTTGAAGGGAAGAGATTATTTCTACTTTTTTTTTTTTTTGTCTTTGACATACTTTGAAATTATAGTTTTGAGCTTTTTATCTGCAATAGTAAATGCTACAAATATCACTTTAAAAAGATGCATTTTTTATAAATTCACATGATTCCAGAACTGTAGTTTCAAGAATATTAAATATCAGAAGACAGAATGCAAATGGGAAAGCCAGCAATACTGAACATAAAATACCATTGCTAACACAGTAATGAAGCATTTCACTAATACATGTAACATTTCACTGTTTTTTGCAAACAGCTTTGCAAAATCCTGCCATTATATTTTATATTACAGATAAATATTTTCAAGATTTCCACCAACTGATTTTAAAAGTATTCCTGAGAAAAAACCCTTTGATTTTAAATGTTGTAGCATATGACTCACCTTGAATAAGGGCAACTGACTTTTCAGCTGAACATACAAGTACTTAACACATGACTTGCATCAAGTTACGAGAAGACAAGCAGCTAAATCTCCCCACCGAGCACATAGGCTCTAAACTCTGAGGGAGTGTTTATATATTCGAAGAGACGTCAGTTCCCTGTTTATCTTTTTGCCAGCAGAAAAAATTAAGTTGTATTGGTGCTGGGGGGGGGGGGGGGGGGGGGTTATTTTTGCAGTCTGACTAAAAGCCACTACCTACATCTCGTGGTAATATACTTAGCCGCTGCAATCTTTGTCAAATTTTGATCCAAGTGAGTCAAAGGTCAAGGAGACAAAAGGGTAACTTATTTGGCTCCTGGTCACTTCTCTAATGTCCATTTGCTTTAAAATTGCTCATATTAGCAAGTTATGACTAACCAGTTCCTGACAGCTTCTTTAAGATACAGAATAGTTTCAAATATTCTTTGCTATATAGCATGCTCTGCTGTATAAATAAAGCCTTACTACTGCAGTCATCCTCTACCAAAATACAGGCTAAAGGCCTTTGCAGCTTAATCATTGTGATAGTATATTTTCAAGTAATAAAAATAAGGAAATGTCAGAATATTTTTTAAAGGGATTTTCCTTCACAGGTTGGATTACAACATTTCCTCACAAAGTAAGAGGAACTGCAAGTTCATTGAACATCATCCCAGAAGCTTTTTTTTTTAATGTATCTAAAAAGCAGTTATTTTTACAGTGACATCTGTGTAGACCAAAGTGTCACCCCAGCACAATGTATACTAATAATTTGCAATAATCAGTTTGGGAAGCTTTTGCACAAATATTTTTTAAATACCTCCTCATCCCAGGTGAATTAAATGAATGAATTATTTTAAAAGATTCTTCTGGCAGCAGCAAGAGGAAATGGTTTATATTTGGCTTATTTAATTATAGAAGAGAAAGTACTCCCAAAAATAGATTCTTAGGTCCAGACTTTCAGGGTATGGCACTGAATAGTTTGTGATCCATACGTTTAGTATTTTCTGTGTGGTTTGACTGATTGTTTACTGTTCTGGTTTTGATATTGCCCTACCTGAAAGTTAAGCTTCTGTGGAAGAAGCTCCTTTCTTCTAATCTACTTCTGCTAAACAAATCTGAGGTGGATGAAGATTAACAAAATTGAGGTTTTATCTCCTAGTAGTGAAAGCAGGGGTGAAAGTGAGCCTGGTCCTTTGAAAGCAACCTGTAGGACAGTCTGTACGAGGCTTACTGCCAGGGAAAGTTGGTGACCCTGACTAACTCCAGTTTCACCTCCTTGAGAAGTGGAGTAAAATTGCTTTCCTCTATTCTTTAATTAAAGAGTGGAGTTTAACTGCTGAAAGAAGTAGTCCTCCACACTATGGTTCATATGCACTACTTTTATGAATATTATCCTTAATTATTGCTATTGGATATCTCCTCGTAGGATGCTGTCCTGGGGATGCTCTTGTTCGGGATCCCCCAGCTTTCCTCCCAGGCTGCACTGACTTCTTCACTGCTGCTTTGTCTCTTCTAAGGGGAAGTAATTCCAGTCAATCACACCTGCCCATGGACATGTTCCCTACCATGCTCATTTTCTCCATTAGCAGTGTATGGGATTCAGCGTGCACCATCCATAAGGGAGGAAGATATCTACTACTGTCTTTTTGTTGGAATCTTAAAGGCACTAATGCAGATGTAATGAAGCTCAGTTTTCAACATATACATGCTGAGTTGTATCAGCTGATTTTGTAACTTATGATATCTTATTAACGTCCTGTATAAGCAAAATCTCTTCTAGCAGGCAGTGCTTGGCAGTGAAATGAGGACTGCCAGGTTGAACTGCAGGAACCAGCTAAAAGGATTTGAATCTGAGAGAGAAGTTGTGCACTTTTGGATGTCAGTCATCTCTGTTTCTTAAAAACAAACCAAACCATAAGTACTCAATGGTCTTTCTGTGTACTCTGGCTTCATATCAGAGTTCAGAGGTTGTAGGGGAGAAAATACAGAGACGCACAGCAACAGAACAACGACAGAAAAAGCAAAAAAATATGTACTTCATTGGAGTCCCCATTGTTGTGACAACAGGCAAACTGCCCCGCAAGGAGAAACTGTCAAGAAACAGAAGTAGTGTAAATGACACTCACGTGCTTGCTGAAGACATAGAAAACTGTGGGAAGCGGAAAAAGATAAATGCAGTTGCTAACTCTAAATGAAGTTCACCCACATTTCCTAGAATAAACATATTACTGACGAGAAAATGCTGAAGAGATGAGTGTGATTCCTGGCTTTTCTAGACATCTCATAGCAGAGCCTTTTGGAAATCACTTTCCTTGGGGTGCTTTCTAAACACAGAGGGAACAAATGAGGAAAGATATCATCTTTCTATATGCCCTGAGATTCCTAAACACTCAATGCCTCCCCCCTTTTTTTTTTACGTTAAGATCCCTTCCATCAGGGGATGACGTACCTTAATGGTACATATAATTTGAATTTTGAGGATGCCTACATAAACGTTCCCATATTCCTGTAGGAATTCTCTGATGTACAGTACAGCACAGCATGACTTTATATTCCCGTGTTTCCACAGTCATGGCACTCACAGAGTTTTTCTTCACCTGCCTATTATGAAACTTGTAAAAACTAATCTTAACATTAATCCCTTGCCAGATGTGGAGATGTTAGCAAATGCCAGCTGAGGTTAGCAAGCAAATTAGAAAAATCGAGGAAACGCCTGTCTATACTTTTGCACCCTCTGAATTTTTCAGACACTAACCTTTATAAAAAACAAACCAAAACAAAACCAACCTTCTAGTTGTTAGGTAAAGTGCCAAGCCCTGGGCAGAAGATGAGGTTAATGTTCTCACCATTCAAAATGATTTTCTATAATCTTTTGGGTATTCTTCCTACTTTGAAATAAAGGTGTGAGGAATTATGTTTACCTCCTTTCTATTGTAAGTAAAAGCACAGATTTATTGTTTATCTGGCTTATTCTATTAACATCATCTTATGTGGCTTCTACACTCCCTACCCAAAATCCTGTTGCCATCACTCAGTTGTCCTGTGGCTTCTCCACAGTTAAGTCCTACAAGAAGGGTTGTATCTTGCTCAGCAGTGAAAGATGTAAAGCATTCAGAAAACCTACAAAAAATAAGAACATGTGGCTCCTGTCCCCAAATAAGCTCTTTCTGATTCAACACACTCATGTTCACTCATGTGCGCTTAGTTCTACTGAGGAGGAGAATGACAAAGATGAATCATCTACAGAAGAAAATGTGCAATATGCCACCAGCTGGAGGAGACTTCTGCCCCTCCACATGTCTTGGAGATAGTGGAAGGTGTTCCTTTATAGGGAGTGAAATTTTGTATTCATGAAAGGTAGTTTGACTTCCTGTGGAAATGAAAACCTTCTGTGTATCATGTCATCACACAATACATAAGAAGCAGCAGCACATGAGCTATCCACCCGGACCAACCTCAACAATTTACTTCACTTCCATTGCAGAAGAGCCTCCTCTAGCGAACATGGCCTATCTTCAAGTACTGCCTATAAAGAATTTGAATATATAACACCCAAATTATAAAAATAATAATATAGAACTAATATTTTCTTCCTCAATTATATGTTCACTGTCTTTGTCTCAGCTACCCTCACTGTGACTGCTATTTTGTACCACCTCATTTTCCAAAAGCCACACGATAGAACAGAGTTAAACAGCAGGAGTGGTCACCTCACTTTAAAAGAAGGAAGTATCAAGATATTTCAGTTGTTTCAGTTTTGCTTTTAATATCTTATCTCTAAGGACCTAAAAGAAAAGAAAGACATAGCTTCAAAGCAATAATGCTTTTCTTGTTTAAAGTGAATTACAAATATTTGTTGCAAATAACTTTATCCAGGTAAAAGTAAGCATCTGGCCTAAGGAAGATGAATTGGTTTCCTCTCCTCTCAATGGAGAGGTATGAGCACATCCATGGACTCATCCCATCTACCTTAAATGCTTATCTTAGACAAGGACGTATCATATCCTTTGGAGGGACTGATGTCTCTCTTCTAACTGCAGAGGATCTAAATGACTCATTTAAATTAGACATCTAACTTTTAGAAGGTTAGTGTTAGAACAGTTCCACTCAAACTCCCCCAAAAGGTCCTTCAGTTCCTCCCCTCATCAGTGCACCGTATCAACAATACCAGGACAACTATAAAAGGTTCTGGTAAGTGCAAACAAGCTATGAAGCAAGAAGAAAACGCAATGAGAAAACTTCAAAATATTTACCGCCTGACAATAATGGAAAGTTTGGCCAAAGATTGCAGACGTGGTGTAGCATTTTTTTGCCCACCTCGCATCACAGACTTTTACTGCAGATGTGTTGGCCTTCAAAGCTTTCCATTGTATGCCCTGGGACATATTCCAACCACTCATATCAAGCAGACTTTGGATCCCTGAAAAAAGATCCTCCTAAACAAGCATTAATACCTGATTTCTCATCACAAGAACTTGGAAGACTCATTCCAAACTGCTGTGTACCTCCTTCATTACCCACTAAAGAGTCCCAGCTGTAGTTTTCCCAGCTCTGTGAAGTGTTAGGACCTAAGGTGCAGTCCCTTGTGATTCTCAGCGTGTTCTGATGATACGGAAAACATCCTAAAATACCATTGGCTCAAACCAACTTGGCAGCAGTACGGTGGAAACAGCGTGATATATTTGGCTCCTGCCAGTGATGAGTTTCTCTGTCAAACTGTAACTAGGTTCTTTAGGGGAAAAGTGGGTGATGGAAGACCCAGCAGCTGCTTCGATTCATTTTTTTTCCCAGTGTCCTGGTTTCAGCAGGGATAGAGTTAACTGTCTTCCTAGTCGCTGGTACAGTGCTGTGTTTTGAGTTCAGTATGCGAAGAATGTTGATAACACTGATGTTTTCAGTTGTTGCTCAGTAGTGTTTAGACTACAGTCAAGGATTTTTCAGCTTCTCATGGCCAGCCAGGCCACAAGAAGCTGGCACAGGACACAGCCAGGGCACCTGACCCAAACTGGCCAACGGTGTATTCCATACCATGCGACGTCCCATCTAGTATAGGAACTGGGAAGTGGGGGCAGGGAATCGCCGC